TCCATTGATTCATTTGTAAATATTTTCTCCCATTCTGAAGGTTGTCTTTTCGTCTTGTTTATAGTTTCTTTGCTGTGCAAAAGCTTTTAAGTTTCATTAGGTCCCATTTGTTTATTTTTGTTTTTATTTTCATTACTCTAGGAGGTGGGTCAAAAAAGACGTTGCTGTGATTTATGTCAAAGAGTGTTCTTCCTATGTTTTCCTCTAAGAGTTTTATAGTGTCTGGCCATAAATTTAGGTCTTTAATCCATTTTGAGTATATTTTTGTGTATGGCGTTAAGGAGTGTTCTAATTTCATTCTTTTACATGTAGCCGTCCAGTTTTCCCAGCACCACTTATTGAAGAAACTCTCTTTTCTCCATTGTATATTCTTGCCTCCTTTATCAAAAATAAGGTGGCCATAGGTGCATGGGTTTACCTCTGGGGTTTCTATCCTGTTCCATTGATCTATATTTCTGTTTTTGTGCCAGTACCATATTGTCTTCATTACTGTAGCTTTGTAGTATAGTCTGAAGTCAGGAAGTCTGATTCCTCCAGCTCTGTTTTTTTCCATCAAGATTGCTTTGGCTATTTGGGGTCTTTTGTGTCTCTATACAAATTTTAAGATTTTTTGTTCTAGTTCTGTAAAAAATGCCATTGGTAATTTGATAGGGATTGCATTGAAACTGTATACTGCTTTGGGTAGTATAGTCATTATCACAATATTAATTCTTCCAATCCAAGAACATGGTATATCTCTCCATCTGTTTCTGTCGTCTTTGATATCTTTCATCAGTGTCTTTCTGAGTACAGGTCTTTTACCTCCTTAGGTAGGTTTATTCCTAGGTATTTTATTCTTTTTATTGCAATGGTGAATGGGATTGTTTCCTTAATTTCTCTTTCTGATCTTTCATCATTAGTGTATAGGAATGCAAGAGATTTCTGTGTGTTAATTTTGTATCCTGCTACTTTACCAAATTCAGTGATTAGCTCTAGTAGTTTACTGGTGACATCTTTAGGATTATCCATGTATAGTATCATGTCATCTGCAAACAGTAACAGTTTTACTTCTTCTTTTCCAATTTGTATTCCTTTTATTTCTTTTTCTTCTCTGATTGCTGTGGCTAGGACTTCCAAAACTATGTTGAATAACAGTGGCAAGAGTGGACATCCTTGTCTTATTCCTGATCTTAGAGGAAATGTGTTCAGATTTTCACCATTGAGAATGATGTTTGCTGTGGGTTTGTCATATATGACCTTTACTATGTTGAGGTAGGTTCCTTCTATGCCCACTTTCCGGAGAGTTTTTATCATAAATGGTGTTGAATTTTGTCAAAAGCTTTTTCTGCATCTATTGAGATGATCATATGGTTTTTATTCTTCAATTTGTTAATATGGTGTATCACACTGATTGATTTGCGTATTTTGAAGAATCCTTGCATCCCTGGGATAAATCCCACTTGATCATGGTGTATGAGCCTTTTAATGTGTTGTTGGATTCTGTTTGCTAGTATTTTGTTGAGGATTTTTGCATCTATATTTATCAGTGATATTGGTCTGTAATTTTCTTTTTTTGTAGTATCTTTGTCTGGCTTTGGTATCAGGGTGATGGTGGCCTCATAGAATGAGTTTGGGAGTGTTACTTCCTCTGCAAATTTTTGGAAGAGTTTGAGAAGGGTGGATGTTAGCTCTTCTCTAAATGTTTGGTAGAATTCGCCTGTGAAGCCATCTGGTCCTGGACTTTTGTTTGTTGGAAGATTTTTAATCACAGTTTCAATTTCATTACTTGTGATTGGTCGGTTCATGTTTTCCATTTCTTCCTGGTTCAGCCTTGGAAGGTTATACCTTTCTAAGAATTTGTCCATTTCTTCCAGGTTGTCCATTTTATTGGCATAGAGTTGCTTATAGTAGTCTCTTAGGATGCTTTGTATTTCTGTGGTGTCTATTGTAACTTCTCCTTTTCCATTCCTAATTTTATTGATTTGATTCCTCTCCCTCTTTTTCTTGATGGGTCTGGATAAAGGTTTATCAATTTTGTTTATCTTCTCAAAGAACCAGCTTTTAGTTTTATTGATCTTTGCTATTGTTTTCTTTGTTTCTATTTCATTTATTTCTGCTCTGATCTTTATGATTTCTTTTCTTCTACTAACTTTGGATTTTCTTTGTTCTTCTTTCTCTAGTTCCTTTAGGTGTAAAGTTAGATTGTTTATTTGAGATTTTTCTTGTTTCTTGAAGTAGGGTTGTATTGCTATAAATTTCCCTCTTAGAACTGCTTTTGCTGCATCCCATAGGTTTTGGATCATCGTGTTTTCATTGTCATTTTTCTCTAGGTATTTTTTGGTTTCCTTTTTGAGTTTTTCAGTGATCTCTTGATTTCTTTTTTTTTTTTTTTTTTGACGGTACGCGGGCCTCTCACTGCTGTGGCCTCTCCCACTGCGGAGCGCAGGCCCAGTGGCCATGGCTCACGGGCCCAGCCGCTCCACGGCATGTGGGATCTTCCCGAACCAGGGCAGGAACCCATGTCCCCTGCATCGGCAGGCAGACTCTCAACCACTGCGCCACCAGGGAAGCTCTCTCTTGGTTTCTTAGTAATATATTGTTTAGCCTCCATGTGTTTGTGTTTTTTATGTTTTTATTCCCTGTAATTTATTTCTAATCTCATAACGTTGTGTTGGGAAAAGATGCTTGATATAATTTCAATTTTCTTAATTTTACCAAGTCTTGATATGTGACCCAGGATGTGATCTATCCTGGAGAATGTTCCGTGTGCACTTGAGAAGGAAGTGTAATCTGCTGTTTTCAGATGGAATGTCCTATAAATATCAGTTAAATCTATCTGGTCTGTTGTGTCATTTAAAGCTTGTATTTCCTTATTAATTTTCTGTCTGGATGATCTGTCCATTGGTGTAAGTGAGGTGTTAAAGTCCCCCACTATTATTGTGTTACTGCCAATTTCCTCTTTTATAGCTGTTAGCACTTGCCTTATGTATTGAGGTGCTCCTATGTTTGGTGCATATATATTTACAATTGTTATATCTTCTTCTTGGATTGATCCCTTGATCATTATGTAGTGTCCTTCCTTGTCTATTGTAACATTATTTTAAAGTCTATTTTATCTGATATGAGTATTGTTACTCCAGCTTTCTTTTTTAAAATTTATTTATTTATTTATTTGGCCTAGTTGGGTCTTTGTTGCGGGACACGGGCACTCTCTAGTTGCAGCGAGTGGGGGCTACTCTTTGTTATGGTGTGCGGGCTTCTTGTTGCGGAGCACAGTCTCTAGGTTTGTGGGCTTCAGTAGTTGTGGCTCACAGGCTCTAGAGCGCAGGCTCAGTAGTTGTGGCTCACAGGCTTAGCTGCTCCATGGCATGTGGGATCTTCCCGGACCAGGGCTCGAACCCGTGTCCCCTGCACTGGCAGGGAGATTCTTAACCACTGCGCCACCAGGGAAGCCCTCCAGCTTTCTTTTGATTTCCATTTGTGTGGAATATATTTTTCCATTCCCTCACTTTCAGTTGGTATGTGTCCCTAGGTCTGAAGTGGGTCTCTTGTAGACAGCATATATATAGGTCTTGTTTTTGTATCCATTCAGCAAGCCTCTGTCTTTTTGTTGGAGCATTTAATCCATTCACATTTAAGGTAATTATCCATATGTATGTTCCTATTATCATTTTCTTAACTGTTTTGGGTTTGTTTTTGTAGGTCCTTTTCTCCTCTTATGTTTCCCACTTAGAGAAGTTCCTTTAGCATTTGTTGTAGAGCTGGTTTGGTGGTGCTGAATTCTTTTAGCTTTTGCTTGTCTGTAAAGCTTTTGATTTCTGCGTCAAATCTGAATGAGATCCTTGCCGGGTAGAGTAATGTTGGTTGTAGGTTCTTCCCTTTCATCACTTTAAATATATCGTGCCACTCCCTTGTGGCTTGTAGAGTTTCTATTGAGAAATCAGCTGTTAACCTTATGGGAGTTCTCTTGTATGTTATTTGTCGTTTTTCCCTTGTTGCTTTTAATAATTTTTCTTTGTCTTTAATTTTCGTCAGTATGATTACTATGTGTCTCGGCATGTTTCTCCTTGGGTTTATCCTGCCTGGGACTGTCTGTGCTTCCTGGACTTGGGTGGCTCTTTCCTTTCCCATGTTAGGGAGTTTTCGACTATAATCTTTTCACATATTTTCTTGGGTCCTTTCTCTCTCTCTTCTCCTTCTGGGACCCCTATAATGTGACTGTTGGTGTGTTTAAATGTTGTCCCAGAGATCTCTTAGGCTGTCTTCATTTGTTTTCATTCTTTTCTCTTTATTCTGTTCTGTGGCAGTGAATTCTACCATTCTGTCTTCCAGGTCACTTATGCGTTCCTCTGCTTCAGTTATTCTGCTGTTGATTCCTTCTAGTGTATTTTTCATTTCAGTCGCTGTATTGTTCATCTCCGTTTGTTTGTTCTTTAATTTTTCTAGGTGTTTGCTCTTTAATTCTTCTAGGTCTTTGTTAAACATTTCTTGCATCTTCTAGATATTTGCCTCCATTCTTTTTCCCCGAGGCCCTGGATCATCTTCACTATCATTATTTGGAATTCTTTTTCTGGAAGGTTGCCTATCTCCACTTCATTTAATTGTTTTTCTGGGGTTTATCTCGTTCATTGATCTGGTAGATAGTCCCCTGCCTTTTCATTTTGTCTATCTTTCTGTGAATGTGGTTTTTGTTCCACAGGCTGCAGGACTGTAGTTCTCCTTTCTTCTGCTGTCTGCCCTCTGGTGGATGAGGCTATCTAAGAGGCTTGTGCAAGTTTCCTGATGGGAGGGACTGGTGGTGGGTAGAGCTGGGTGTTGCTCTGTTTGGCAGCGATCAGTAAAACTTTAATCCGCTTGTCTGCTGATGGGTGGGGCTGAGTTTCCTCTCTGTTGGTTGTTTTGCCTGAGGTGACCCAGCACCTGAGCCCATAGGCTGTTTGGTGGGGCTAATGGCAGACTCTTGGAGGGCTCACGCCAAGAAGTACTTCCCGGAACTTCTGCTGCCAGTGTCCTTGTCCCCGCGGTGAGCCACAGCCACCCCCCGCCTCTGCAGGAGACCCTCCAACACTAGCAGGTAGGTCTGGCTCAGTCTCCTATGGGGTCACTGCTCCTTCTCCTGGGTCCTGATGTATACACTACTTTGTGTATGCCCTCCAGGAGTGAAGTCTCTGTTTCCCCCAGTCCTATCGAAGTCCTGCAATCAAATCCCTCTAGCCTTCAAAGTCTGATTCTCTAGGAATTCCTCCTCCCGTTACCAGACCCCCAGGTTGGGAAGCCTGATGTGGGGCTCAGAACCTTTACTGCAGTGGGTAGACTTCTGTGGTGTAATTGTTCTCCAGTTTGTGAGTCACCCACCCAGTGGTTATGGGATTTGATTTTACTGTGATTGCGCCCCTCCTACCATCTCATTGAGGCTTCTCCTTTGTCTTTGGATGTAGGTTATCTTTTTTGGTGAGTTCCAGTGTCTTCCTCTCGATGATGGTTCAGCAGTTAGTTGTGATTCTCGTGCTCTCGCAAGAGGGAGTGAGCGCATGTCCTTCTACTCCACCACCTTGAACCAATCTGTTCTTCCTGTGTTTGTCCCTTAATACTGGTGTATCCCAAGACTCAGGATTAGGATCAAACTACAAACTCTTCCTGCATGATCCCCTTCATTCTCTAGCCTTCAATCACTATCTGTATGTTTCTCAAATCTTTATTTCCAATTTTTACTCTCTCCTGAGCCCCAGATTCTAGTAGCCACAGCTGAAAAGAACTGAGTTCTACAGACAAGTAGGACATGAAAGAAAGCTTCCATGGTCAAATAAGTTTGGAAAATGCTGGGTTAAATAGAATGAAATTGACTTTTTTGCTGAGGTGCTCCTAGAACTGTGAATGTGCTATTATGCATTGCAAGTGTTTAAGAGGGAGTGTGGGACTTCCCTGGTGGGGCATTGGTTAAGAGTCTGCCTGCCAATGCAGGGGACATGGGTTCAAGCCCTGGTCCGGGAAGATCTCACATGCTGTGGAGCAACTAAGCCCATGCACCACAACTACTGAGCCTGCACTCTAGAGCCCGCAAGCCACAAGTACTGAAGCCCGCGTGCCTAGAGCCCATGCTCTGCAACAAGAGAAGCCACCGCGATGTGAAGCCCACACACTACAACAGAGTATCCCCCGCTTGCTGCAACTAGAGAAAGCCCGTGTGCAGCAACAAAGACCCAATGCAGCAATAATAAAATATAAAATGAATAAATAAATCTTAAAAAAAAAGAGGGAGTGTGTAATACCTCGTATTTCTTAAACTTATTTGACATCTGTATTGAACATAATCAATACATTTCCTCAGATTCTCTCAGCCCTGCCTGAGACCTGGATTCTTGACTTTTTGCTTTTCCTTAACTGTTTAACTGTAGCCAGTGGTGTAGTTCTGTGGCCAACCAGCTGCTGCTGCCTGCATCTTGCATTGCTTTCCATCCCTCCATGCCTCCTCTCTTCCCTTTTATATCATTCTTTCTCTCTCTCTTTTTTTTTTTTTGCGATATGCGGGCCTCTCACCGTTGTGGCCTCTCCCGTTGTGTAGCACAGGCTCCGGATGCGCAGGCCCAGCAGCCATGGCTCACGGGCCCAGCCGCTCCGTGGCATGTGGGATCCTCCCGGACTGGGGCACTAACCCGTGTCCCCTGCATCGGCAGGTGGACTCTCAACCACTGCGCCACCAGGGAAGCCCTATATCATTCTTGAGGCTTTGGTTTTGTGCCTCCATAAAAAGCCTGAGCATATAATCTTTGCCTCAGGCTCTATTTTCTAGGGAACCTGGGCTAGTACAACCTGCAACAGACCCCCCCACCTTTTCCTGGAATATTAACATCTCCTGGAACTTGGGGTTCCTAGAACACACTTTGGAAATGTGACATTGGTTATTTTATTTTTCCCTGGATATCTGCAGGCACCTGAGACTCAGCGTGTCCAAGTCCGAATCAATCTGTTTTCCTTTATATTTGTTCCTCGTTTGGCCTTTCCTGTCTTAGTGACTGCATCACATTTGCTCATCACCCAAGTGACCTGGGTGTTGTTCCTGACTCCTCCTTTTCCTCTTCCATCCAATCTGTCACCCCCTCTTGCTTCCTCCTTTCTTCTTCTCATCTAATTAACAATTATTCATTATTAAAGAGACAGTGTAGATATCATCTTTTTACCCTGTCTCCTCAGTCTGTTGGGGTCTGGGTGATATACCACTCTGAGTTCTCATAGGCCCTTAAATTGTCTCTCTTACAGCACTTATAACACTGTATGTTAATTGATCTTTTAAAAATGAATCTGTTTCCCCCACCACCTTTGGTGTCTTATTCAATTCTTAATCCCCAGCACCTAGGATAGAGAATTTACTGATTTATTGATTGATGGGAGTGGATGAGGCAGGTGGGAGAGAGAGAACTCCAATTTGTAAGTCCTCAAAGGGAGGAAAAATAATTTCCCCTCTAACTTTCTGAGTTCTTTGCTGAGACCTCCATAATAAAAACACAGATTAACAAGAGAAAAGCAAAGAGAAATCATAAACATGTATACCTTATGCATACATGGGATATCCCCGAGGGAAAATAAGTGATTCCCTGAGGCGGCTTAGAATTCAGGATTATATACCAGCTTAATAGAGAAAAAAGAGGGGGAATGTAGGACTCTCAGCAGAGAGGAAATGATTTTTAGGAAAGATGAATGGGCCCTTAGAAGAGTAGAAGGGAGGTATGATAGTTTGTGACCAAGTTTGTCAGCATGTTGTATCAACTTCTAGCCTCCTTTCCTGTGATAAGACTCAATCTTCCCTTGTCGATGATGCCTCTAGGGAGGGTATTTTTGACAAATGAGTTCCTTTTGGAGGATCTATCTTTAGACAGACAAGGGGGGTTTAGAGAAAGCTCTACCTGCATTTGCCATTTTTTCAAGTGCCTACAGCTCAAAATAATCAGTATACCAAAGCAGTATATTTTGGGGTGGCATGTCCTGAACTCCTGCAGTCATATTTTGGGGCAGCATATTCTGCTACCCTCATTCCCCACCTTTGAAAATTCCTCAAGAAATTTCACAGTCTAGAAGCTGAGTTGGTAGATCTCATTGAACCAGTCTCTTAGTCCTGAGAATAGGTCAGTTCAGTTAAACAACTGTGCCCCATTCCAGGAGGTGGTATTGCAGGTGGGATACTAGCAGGTATTTGATAAGAGGCATATCTTTGGAAACAAAACAAATAATAGTTGGAGCATACTATAAGTCAGTTTCTGAGTCCAGAAGGCAGCCATGAGAAGATTTCTAGATATTGGGCTAGAAGCACCTTTCACAGTTTAAATGCTTCTGATGATGTCATTGGGTGTTCCAGTGAACTTTCTGAGTGATCCAGACAGCAACAGACATGAAGGTTGTCCATACATGATCTGTTGTGGTGATATCTCTGTGGTTTATATCAAGTTGTCCAGTTTCAGCTTCCAGGGCTTTTGGAAAAGGGAAGTTTTTGTTCTTAGTGACTCCAAGTCAGAAGGGTGAAAGAAAATTGCAAGCATTAGTTTGGAGAGTTTTAACCAGATATTAGAGAAAACTAGAATTCAAGATCCAGCCCAGTTTGCAGGTAGATAACAAAACTTCAAAGACAATGCACAGGGCTAGAATCTCATACCCACAAGGATGTGTTATAATTTTCTATTGAAACATAATTTTTCTCTGTACAATCACCCCCATTTCTAGCAAAGGTAATCACGGTAAGATGAATCTGTTTGCAAAATAAGTCTAGTCTCACTAAACTTCGCCTGATTATTTACATAAGTGCAGCAAGAATAGCAATTGACCATATAGGCTCTTTTAAAATCTACTTTGTTGGAACTTTCATAAGGAATCTCAGATTGGACTTTTAAAAGACTTTCAAGGCTAGGAAGCCAAACCAAAAACTCGTCATCAGACTTCACATGCATATCTATGCATTTGGGTGAATTCCTCTGTGCTCCAAGTCACCAAAATATCCTGAGGTTCCTGGGTCTGCCAGGAATTGATCTTCCTTACTCACCTGGTAAGGCTGGAAACCCTGAAATCAAGGAACCAGGAAGTTTCTCAGAAGGGGGCTTAATAAGCATTGGCTCCTTAAAGTCAACCTTATTTCCATAAAGCTGTCTGGCCATATCTGATTCTATGTACATCATTCTCAAATTTGATATCCTAGTCAAAGCCTTAGTAATATAACCAATGTTTCCAATTGTGTCCTATCACAAGGAGAACAGATTCTTATCAAACTTACACAAATAGTTATATTGCCATGAAAATAAGAATACTCAATAAGAGTCTGAATTCTGGAGGGATCAGGTAGGGAGAAAAGATAAATGCCTCAATTCTGTTTACAAAGGTACACTTTACCAAATTGCCATAAATCATAGATAGCTTAAGAGAAAAGAGAAAAGTTTTCTTAAATCTAGAAAACAAAACATTAAAGAACTAGCAATGTTTCAAACAAAAAGTCATAATTATTGTAATCATTCTCAACAGTTTATTCAGTCCCAGGTAATTAATTCTTGTTTGCTTGATCTTGAGCTAGTAGTTTTATGAATCATTCTGTTTTTCTATTAGAGTTCTGGAAATTCTTACCCAGTTCAATGGTATGATCTCAAAGTTATTGGAAACTGATATTCTAGAGTACTTATCAAAGTCCTTTCCATGAATCTGAAGACAAAGTGTTTTTGGATCATAGCTACTTGCAAAAGCTTTCAGGAAACATCAGACTAAAACAATAACTGTCTGTGACTGACCAAAAGACTTAAAAATGGCCATGGTTAAAAACCTGATGAGAGTTCATTTAAACACAATTGACAAGGAAATTTGGTTATTTCTGTGTCATACAACAGTTTAAGATGATAACTAGAGTTATGACTGATAACATTATACCAGGACATATCAGATTCTAGGAATTTCATATAATTTCTGGAACACCTATATTGATAATATAACACCCATACAAATATAACTTAAGAAGGTTAAACATTATTACTTCTTTAAAAATAAATTTATTTATTTATTTTTGGCTGCTTTGGGTCTTTGTTGCTGCATGCAGGCTTTCTCTGG